GTTTGAAAAATCGAATCACGTGTTTCGGCGATTTTTGAAAATTTAATTCTTTCAAAAGTTATTAGACCGTCCCGGTACTTTTGGCGGACCCTGTATATTCGATACATATGCACATATATATTTACGTTATTTCATGTTTCTAAATTTCTGTATATATATGTATACATATTATATATTTATGTGTTATTTTTATTTATAATTATTATATAATAACAAATTATAATATTTACAGATGGTTGCAATACGTGCGTGTGAAAGATTGAATTTGGAAGCAATGGATGCAGAATATACCCATCGCGATTATCGAGTGTGCCACTTACATTTCGAAGAAAAGTGGTACAATGCAAGTAAGACTAGAGCTCATCTTCATCCAGATGCAATACCGACAAAGTTTTTTGAAAGGAAGTAAGTTTTTATAGAGAAACATCTTATAAAGTGTATATACTTTTCTACTCTAAATTTTATGTACTAAACAATATTTGATAATCTATAAATTAATAATATATTACATATATAATTTACAGTAACGCATCCATTACGACAACATTAGTAAAAGAGAAGATAAATGATTAAATACCTGTAGAAGACAATATTTGTATTTCGGAACACGAAAAAATAAACAGGTGCTTAAATATATTAAATATAATAGATTTCCTAAAATATATATTTATTTTTCTGTTTCATTAAAGATAGGGTTTTGATATCGTGATTTACTTTTATTGTATGCATAATTTTGTTATATATATATTCTAATTAATGAAAAATAATATAACACTAAAATTATACATGTTTCAGTAACTTACAGCCAAAATCATTCTTGCCTCTAGAGCAGATCCTAAGATGTGATATTGCTAAACCGTAAGTTTTTTTGTATTTACACACATACACATTTTTTATCTTCGCAGGATAAGGTCCAATCATACGTTCAGACGCTCAACAGTTTTAGAATTTAGAAAGAGATCTGTTTACCCCACAAACACAATAAGGTAGTAAGCCTTAAGCATTAAGGAATTGATCAATCATAGTCAATTAGTCTTTTTGTATTCCACTGTGATTGATCAATTTCTTAAAGCTTAATGGGCCTTCTACTTCTACACATTCTTACGGCGGACGTTACAGAAACAAACAACTTCGGAAAAAAATAAAAGATTTAACAACAAAAGGACAATACGAAACCAGAAAATAAGGGACTTCGAGGTCACGAAGTCATATGTCAATTGGGCTGTAAGTTTTTTTTTCCAAATTTTGCACGATTGTTTTCCGTCCAAATTGATGCTCACATTAAAAACAAACGAGGAATACGGTATAGTTCTGAATTCAAACAATTCGCTTTATGTTTGTACTTCTTAAGTACGCGAAGTTATAAAGAACTGAAAAAAGAATTAGCATTACCTTCTATACGCAGTCTACAAACATTATGCAAAAATGGAAAATTAAACCCTGTATAAATGCTAAAATTTTTAATGTATTAAGTGTAAAGTTAAATTACATTGCCACCATTAGAACGTCACTGTATTTTGTGCATAGATGAAATGAGTCTGAAGAGTCATTTATTTTATAATGTTTCCCAAGACGAAATAATTGGATTCGAAGATACCGGTAATGAGAAACTATCATTACCTGCAAAAAGTGCTTTAGTTATTATGGCACGTAGTATTGCAGGTAATTATTATAAAACTTCCTGTTTGTTTTTGTTTGATCGAAACTGCATGTAAATCTAATATATATTCAAACCTATTCTATTTGATGTTATCCGTATGCTACGAGGTTGCAATGTTTATGGTACATGCTTTAATTTCGGACATGGGTTCTAACTTTATGCAACTCTTCCGAGAATTAGGTATTTCTGTACAGAATTCAAAATTTTTAGTTGATGAGCACGAAGTACTATATATATTCGATACTCCTCGCTAATGAAGAGAACTCGCGATAATTTGTTGAAATATGATATAGAATTTGAAAACAAAGTTGCTTCATGGACTCATATTGTTGATTTTTATAACCGAGATAGTAACCAGTGGATCAAAATGGCCCCAAAATTATATAAAGATCATATTGAGCGAACTAACTTCCAAAAAATGAAAGTAAAATATGCTGTGCAAGTTTTTAGTAATCGCGTTGCTGCTTTATATGTATGTGCTTTATTCAAATGTCCTTCGATTTTCTTCCAAGCGCAGCAGTTGGAACAATAGAATTTATCAACAATTTTAATAAATTATTTGATATTTTAAATTCCTCTATTTTAAATAGCCCAAAGGATTATGAACAAGTATTTAAAGGAAGTGAAAAGCAAATACAATTTTTAGAACAAATGTTACATGTCTTGAAAAGTATTAATGTTGTCAATGATAAAGGAACTCGTGTAAAAGTTAAGTGCTTCGAATGTTGGTAAATAACTATAAAAAGCATGATGCAACTTTGGCAAAAATTGAAATGTTACAATTTTCCTTATATTAGGACACGAAGAATTAATCAAGATTGTGTAGAAAATTTCTTTAGTACCATTAGAAAACAAGGCGGTAATTGTGTGTAAATCCAACACCAATACAGTTTACTCGTGAATTGATTCAATACAGTTTACTCGTGATTGACAGTTTACTCGTGAATACAGTTTACTCGTGAATTGATCCAATACAGTTTACTCGTGACTGACAGTTTACTCCGAATTTGTTCCATTTACGACGCGCATGACAATTTTAAATATTCCGAATCACGATCTGGAGACACTGGTAGTGTCTCGGCGCTAAGCTACGCGCAGCGACACTGCCGTGCCTCCTTTACGCGAACCGATGAGTTACGCCAGATCGAGATTATCGGATCTCAATAACAGTTGAACCGATCGCATTTCTACGTGCCCTACGAGCGGAGATATCGCGACGCAAAGTTCTGAACTGCTACTTTTTCAGTTCAGATTCATTCAGATACATCGTCCTTATTGCTATTGTCGTCGACCACATTCCGCGCATTCCTTTGGTGTCCTTCTGACATTCTTTACGCAAAGAGCGCTAGTTTCCTGTCTTTCTGACATTCTTTACGCAAGGAGCGCTAGTGATATACATACATGATCAGTGAGTGTTGCGATCTGGAGATACGACAATTATTAGTGTATACATTTTTTATTAGGTTAGGAAATCCGTCACTTCGATGGATAGAGGAATACGTGAGTGATTTTCTGCTTCTGCAATACACAATTTTAGACTTACTCAACACGTTTTTGTATGGAATGAACGAATTTGGCAAAAAAATTACCCCGTGGACCGAGATTTAATCGTTAAAGTTGATGACTATTCAGGTTAGGAAATCCGTCACATTGATGGCATAGAAAGACATGAGAATATGTAATTTAAGCTAGTAAGTATTTTCTGCTTCAATTATACAAATTCTCTGCTTTAAAAACACATTCTTTGTTTCAAGAATATTATTTTTACAGCAGAGTATTTGTCTTGATTAAATATTTGTCTGTAAAGCAGAAAATTTGTTTAATACTTTATGCCGTCGATGCAACAGATTTCCTCTGGATATCTGTTAACTTTAATTAATAACAATTAATAACTCGGTTCGCGGGGCAAAGGACCCCGCACTAATCCTATATGAAATTGGATTTTGGTTAAATCAAATGGTTTTCTCATATGTTATAGCTTATGATCTGCTGAACAAAACTTAAGTTTTAGCGAAAAAAATGAACAGTTTTCGTGTTTGATTCACCTAAAGTTGCTGACATTTCACCATAAAATGCTCAATAACTTCTAAACGGCTGACCTAAAATGGATAAAATTATAGTGTTTTGAAAAGGTCTCAACAAGGACTATAAGAAAATGGAAAAAAAGTGGGGGGTCTCATTTAAAAAATCCGTGTGGACGTTGTCATGACCTTGGCGATGCCACCCAAAGTCAAATTGATGAAGCCAGTGGCTAGACCATTTTAAACTGTACCACAACTTTTATTTAATACATTTTTTTATAAAACTAATAGTTTTCGAGATATTTTACCGTCTCGGAACATTTTATGTTCCTTATATGATTATACCATGGGGCTACATATAATTATATTCCACATAGCATTACGTACTATCATATATTATGTCCAAGTATGTATACATACATGTAAAAAACAAACTTTGTTACAGAATATGTAGTGCAATTCCCTACTCTTAGCGTAATCCAGGACCAACGACATGGACGTGGTAGGGATCTGGTCCCGTGTGTGTGTGTGTGTGTGTGTGTGTGTGTGTGCGCACGCGCGAGTGGGTGTGTTCGTGCATGCGTGTGCGTGCGTGTGCGTGTGTGTGTGTTCGTGCGTACACGCACGCACAAGTTTATTAAACAAGTTTATTAAATTGAGACACATTTTTCTTATAACGAAGTCTTTCACATGGTACACAAACATATCGAGGTGTGTTCATGGAAAGTTTGGTCTAAGCCTTAAATGTTTTTTTAAAAGAAATTTTGCCAAAGTTATAATTTCATTTAATGTTTCTAAATTGTACATTTATTAATCTTTTGTAACAATTCTAGTATTCTCTTAAAGATTAAAGACAATACGTTTGTAATTTGACCTTCCACGTTTATTACTAAATGTGATGAAGAAATGTTACGATATATGGAATCGATAAAATAATTTTCGGACATAGCTGTACGTCTCGATTTGCCACAAAGAGTAATGTAATTTTTCATCAATTGTTTTGCATGTAGTAGCAAGATTCAAACACACTTCTGATTTCTTTTTAAGTAAATTCACGAATAACTCGAACTTGCATATTTTGGCTTCCAATCGTTTTTTCTATCTTGAGGAAAATGCTCAATTACATTTGTGTCAAGAATTTTTATTAAATTCAAACGCATTAATAACTTTATCAGGTTTCGGTTAAATAATAATTACGTAGCAAAAGCTATGGTAATTACGTCGCAAAATTAGTTTTTTTTTTCTAGATTAAATCTGAACGAATCTTTACAAAAAAAAAATCATGGGTATAAAGTTTAAGTAAAGACCAATTTCTAACTTTGTTAAGCACATAAACATGATAAACTTGTCTTACTCTAATATAATGTCAAGAGACTTCAAGTTTTTGATCTACAAGGCTATTTAATCCAAAATTCGTTTTATATGTACACATTACAAAGTTAATTTTATATTTTCTATTAACTCACTTTCTAAAGTTATACAAAAAAATACCATTTTTAAGAAATCAAAGAAACAATTATATGCCAAATTGCATGGTTTACAGAATTTATTTATTTACATTTTACGCGAAATAATAATACTTTTAAAAACATTTTTGAAAGGATTATCAAATACTATATTAATCTTCATCGCGCTGTCTTCATGTATATTGAAAAAGTTGAGCCTGTCATACATGAAGTAGCGATTTTTAAAAGTATTATTATTTTGCATAATATAATAATTGTAAATAAATAAATTCTGTAAACCATTCATTTTTACATATAATTGTTCCTTTGATTTCTTAAAAATGGTATTTTTTGGTAAAACTCCTGTTTAGAGGAGGCATCTCCGATGACCTTGACCTTGACATATGTCATCAAGGTCATGATCCTGAGTGACCTTCAGGCTTCAGCCGTCGTTCATTCTTCGTTAAAAAGATATGAACAAATTATTATTCGAAAATAACGTTTCATTTCTGCTATATATACATTTTTCACGCGAAGCAACTCTCATCCCCTTTTCCCCTCCCCCCCTGCAAAGGGGCGCACGCCTCCTAAACAGGAGAGTGGAGGGATGAGAGTCGGGATGAGCGTCGCGCGCCCCTTTGCAGGGGGGAGGAGGGGTGAGAGTTGTGAGCCTCTTTGCAGGGGTGAGGGGGGGGGTGAGAGTCGAAGGTGAAAGTCGCGGGCCCCTTTGCAG